TTTCACTGAAACTCTAGCAAACATGATGTCCTTCTCAGGGGACTGACTGGTCTCTCCTGATAACATGTCCAAAGTACATGAGACGAAGTCTCACCATCCTCGCTTCTAAGCAGCATTCTGGCTGTACTTCTTCCAAGACAGATTTCTTCGTTCTTCTGGCAGTCCATGGTATATTCGATATTCTTCACCAACACCGTAATTCAAAGACATCCATTCTTCTTCGGTCTTCCTTATTCATTGTCCAGCTTTCGCATTCATAATATGGCTTGGGTCAGGTGCACCTTAGTCCTTAAAATAATATCTTTGCTTTTCAACACTTTCAAGAAGTCTTTTGCAGCAGATTTGCCCAATGCAATATTTCATTTGATTTCTTGACTGCTGCTTTCATGGGCATTGATTGTGGATCCAAGTAAAATGAAATCCTTGACAACTTCAATCTTTTCTCCATTTATCATGATGTTTCTCATTGGTCCAGTTGTGAGGATTTTTGTTTTCTTTATGTCAAGGTGTAGTCCATACTGAAGGCTGTGGTCTTTGATCTTCATCAGCAGGTGCTTCAAGTCCTCTTGGCTTTCAGCAAAGTTGTATCATCTACATTTTGAAGGTTGTTAATGAGTCTGCCTCCAATCCTGATACCGCATCCTTCTTCAGATAGTCCAGCACTAGGATTATTTGCTCAGCGTACAGATTGAATAACTATGATGACAAAATACAACCATGTGCACCTTTCCTGATTTTAAACCACACAGTATCCACTTGTTCTGTTCGAATGACTGCCTCTTGGTTTATGTACAGGTTCCTCATGAGCACAATTAAGTGTTCTGGAATTCCCATTCTTTACAATGTTATCCATAACTTGTTATGATCCACAGTCGAATGCCTTTGCATAGTCAATAAAACACAGGGAAGCATCTTTCTGGTATTCTCTGCTTTCAGCCAAGATCCATCTGACATCAGTAATGATATCCCTTGTTCAACGTCTTCTTCTGAATCTGGCTTGAACTTCTGGCAGTTCCGATGTACTACTGCAACCGTTTTTGAATTATCTTCAGTATAATTTTACTTGCATGCGATATCAATGATATCGTTTGATAATTTCCGTATTTGTATTCTGTGAGATCACCTTTCTTTGCAATGGGCACAAATATGGATCTCTTCCAGTCGGTTGACCAGGTAGCTGTCTTCCAGATTTCTTGGTATAGATTAGTGGGTGCTTCCAGCACTGCATCTGTTTGTTGGAACATCTCAATTGGTATTGTGTCAATTCCTGGAGTCTTTTCTTTTTTTTTTTTGCCAATGCCTTCAGTACGGCTTGGACTTCTTCCTTCAGTACCATAGGTTCTTGATCATATGCTACCTCCTGAAATGGCTGAACATCAACCAATTCTTTTTGGTACAGTGACTCTGTGTATTCCTTCCTTCTTCTTTCGAGGCTTCCTTTGTCATTCAATTTTTTGCCGATAAAATCTTTCAGTATTGCAACTCGAGGCTGGAATTTTTTCTTCAATTCTTTCAGCTTGAGAAATGCTGGGAGCATGTTCTCTCTTGGTTTTCTAATTCCAGGCCTTTGCACATTTCCTTATAATTCTTTACTTTGTCATCTCAAGCTGCCCTGAAATCTTCTATTCAACTCTCTTACTTCATCGTTTCTTTCTTTAACTTTAGCTACTCTTATGTTCTTATGTGAAGCCCTGGTGGCATAGTGGTTAAAACCAAAAGGTCTAGAGTTCAAATCCACCAGCAGCTCCTTGGAAACCTAGGGGGCAGTTCTACTCTGTCCTATGAGTAGGGATTGACTCCACGGCAATGGGTTTGGTTTTTTGTTTTTTTTTAATGCTCTTATGTTCAAGAGCAAGTTTCAGAGTCTCTTCTGACATCCATTTTGGTCTTCTTCTTTTTTAAATTCCTGTCTTTTTAATGGCCTTTTGCTTTCTTCATGTATGATGTCCTTGATGTCATCCCACCACTTGTCTAGTCTTTGGCGTCATTAGCGTTCAATGCGTCAAATCTATTATTGAGATGGTGTCTAAATTCAGGTGGGATATACTCAAGGTCATACTTTGGCTCTCGTGGACTTGTTCTAATTTTCTTCAGCTTCAACTGGAACTTGCATATGAGCAATTAATGGTCTGTTCTGCTGCCGGCCCCTGACTTTGTTCTGACTGATGATATTGAGTTTTCCATCATCTCTTTTCATAGATGCAGTCAATTTGATTCCTGTGTATTTTATCCATTGAGGACCACGTGTATAGTGGCCGTTTGTGTTGTTGAAAAAACGTATTTCCAATGAATAAGTCATTGGTCTTGCAAAATTCTATCATATGATCCCCGGCATCATTTCTATCACCAAGGCCATAATTTCCAACTACCAAACCTTTTTCTTTGTTTTCAACTTTGCATTCCAATCACCAGTAATTATCAATGCATCTTGATTGCATGTTTGATCAGTTTCAGACTGCAGAAGTTGGTAAAAATCTTCAATTTCCTTATCTTTGGCATTAGTGGTTGGTGCATAAATTTGAATGATAGTCATATTAACTGGTCTTCCTTTTAGGCATATGGATATTATCCTATCCCTGACAGCGTTGTATTTCAGGATAGATCTTGGAATGTTCTTTTTGATGATGAATGTGATGGCATTCCTCTTCAACTTGACATTCCCACCATAGTAGACTATACGATTGTCTCATTCAAAATGGTCAATACCAGCTCACTAATGCCTAGGTATCAGTCTTCAAGCGTTCCATCTCTTTTTTGACAACTTCCAGCTTTTCTTGATTCATACTTCGTACATGCCATGTTCCGATTATTAATGGATGCTTGCAGTTATTTCTTCTCAGTGAAAACTTTATGGAGAGCAGCAAAACATGTCTGATATAATGCCAGGAGATGAGCCCCGCAGGTTGGAAGGCATTCAAAATACAACTTGAGACGGAGTAAAGCTTTGGGGACCTTCATTTGCTGATGTAGCATGACTCAAAATGAGAAGAAACACATAAACAGTACAGCCTAGGAAACTCCATGGGGCAGTTTTATTCTGTCTTATAGGATCGCTATGAGTCTGAATCTACTGGAAGGCACCTAACAACGTCTAAGTCGAATCCACTCACTGGCATTCAACAACAGGGGGGAACCTTAGAAAATTCTTTTAGCAACCTTCTCCCTAGTTTAGGAAACGAAAATGCCAGAAGGTCACCAGTGCTTTGGCCACGCAGTTAGCCTCCAAGGCCGGCCGTCCCCACCTCAGTCCTCGCCGCTGGCCACTGCGCCGCCCAGGGCCACCTGTTGTTACCATCGCGCCCAGAGCCGAGTCGGAAACCTCCGCTAGAGTTCGTCCTAATTCTCCGGAGCCAAAGCTAGCCTGGAAGCCCCGACGCGACCGCCTGCAATCCGCCGCGAGGGCTGGGTCTCCGCAGAGCCTCCTAGCCCCAGGCTCCCTTTGTTTTCTCTCGGCGCTCAGTGTCAAAACTAGACCTAGACAGCATCCCCTCGTCCCTGCTTCGCTCCAGCGCGCTCGCGCCCAGCCCACAACCCGGAGATGCTGGGGCGTTAAGATGCCTGCCGAGATGAGTTGGGCTGCATCCATTGGTCAGGTGTGCGCTGCGCAGACAGGTGGCCTTGTGAGGTCCAGAAGCCTCCCCGGGATCTCCAATCCACGGAGCTGGTTGGCCAAGCACTGTTGCGGGAGCGCCGCGCAGAGGACGCAAATTCACCGCTCCCGAAAGCCCCAGGCGAAAGACAGAGAAATCTCGGCCCGCCTTTGCTCTAAGGCGCCCGAGGGGATCCCCGGGGCGGCCGCGTGTAGAGTCCCTCCAGCCCAGAACGCCAATTCCAAACTCCAAAGTGCCTCGCCTCACTTCCGAGGGACTTCCCTGCGACCGCCGCAGGGGTGTGCGTTGCAGAGTCTGCGAATCCCAGCGATCGCTGCCCGGGAAGAGTTGGAGTCGGCTCACGGGATGTCTGTTTGTTTATTGGCTCTTAAGGAAAAAGTTTTAAGATCGTTATCTAGCTCAGACCTGGCGCAAGCGGGAACCCCAGACTCTCCCCTGCGAAAGTGATTCCTTTCCAGTCGTTACATAAGCGAGGGCTTCTTATGCTCCCCACCCCAGCTCTCTCATGACCGTTCCAGGAATAAAATGTGACTTGCTTTTTCAAAAAAAAAAAAAAAAAGTTATTTTCTTGAGCCCGAAACGTGCGAGGGCGCAGGCAGCGCCCCAGGCGCGCGGCACCCCAACCCATGGGCAGCCCCCTGCGCCGCCGTAGGTTCGCTGGCTGTGAGCAGAGGCGCCCCGCGGTTCCTCCGCCTGCCACTCCACGTGGTCAGGAGCAACAGTTTGTTGAGCTCATCAGTGACACCTTGAACTTTTCATAAAGAAAATGGGTATTGCACCGGGCAGGCTTGGCCGCGGCCGCCGCGCCGGGTCGTGCTTAATATTCAATGATCTCGCTGCGCCTCCCCTCCTCTTCCCGCAGAAATGCCGCGGAGTCAGTTACTGGGCACCTCGGACTTTTAAGTTCATTGACCGCCCCCCACCTTGGCTAGTCCCCAGCGCTTCTAAGGCTATCCTCCCCCCGCTCCCGCCTGAAAATGACATTTCGCCGGCGTCTCCGGAGGGGGCCGAATTTCACTTAGTAAGTTTCTGCGGAACCCGAGCCAGGGTGGCAGCTCGGGTGGTGGTATCGTATGCAAATACGCATGCTGACGTTACAGATCATGTGGGTTTTGGCGTAGATTCCCCACTGATCGAGGCATTTTTTCCCCTTCTTTTTTTTTTTTTCTTTTTCTTC